TATGAAGAAGTTGAACCTAGAAGGACGGATGGTGGCATGGGCTGTGGAACTCTCAGAACATGACATAGAGTTCACCCCATGTACTAGCAAAAATTCTCAGGTTTTAGTCGACTTCGTGGTAGAACTGAGTGCTCTAATGAATGAAGAGGCGTCTACAAAATGGGTTATGTATGTGGATGGACCATCCAATTTAAGGGGCGGTGGGGCTGGTATTATGTTAGAAGGACCATGTGACTTGGTCCTAGAATATTCGTTGTGCTCTAATTTCTAAGCTAGAAATAACCAGGCTGAATATGAAGCCTTGGTTTCTGAAATGAAACTAGCTAAAGAGGTCGGAATTACCCATCTGCTTGTCTGGACCGATTCATAGTTAATGGTCGGGTAGGTTGGAGGAGAGTTCTAGACCAAGATCCCATTTTGATGAAATATCTACAACAGGGTATGCAACTGTCGAAGGAGTTCCAGGAGTTTACAATATTCCATGTACCTAGAGAAGAAAATACTTGAGCCGGTCTGTAGCGATAAAAAATGTGGCGAGGTAAATCAGAGATCAAGCTATTAATTAACTCGACTCACAAAAGCAAGATTCGCCACTGTGCTTTATTATTTCCAATGGAAAAGGAAAAAGAGAGAAATAAAACCCTTAAATATGCAATGTAAAATAATACTTAAAAGTAATGAAAATACAATGCGTTTTTAAAAAAAATGAGATCCATAGTTCGGGGGTTAGTTATGCAAAGGGAAGGTATTAGCATCCAATGCATCTGCGGTACTCCGCAAGAACCTTTTGTAATATCAAACTATGTCAATTCTTCTATGGTCCCAAGATGAAGTATCAAAGTTGCTGGTATAGAGGAGAAACTTTCCATAATTTATGGTGGAGTAAAATCATAAGTAAACAAGGTATGGGATTAAAGCAAATTTTGTACCAAAACCTTGCTTTTCAAGAATAGCAATGGTAACTTTTTACCTTAAATGGCAAATTATTTGGATAATGGCTTATATCTCTTGGATAATGGTTCAAGCTTTTATGTAAACATTAAATTATGGAGATATTTGCAATCAAGAAGTCCTACAACATAAGATTATGCAGCATAACATGTAGTTTGGATCATGTGTTCTTCAACAAAAAGACTTGTAATTCAAGGATGAATGTCCAACTTGATGCCCTTGAATCTCCTAGCTCAAGTATGATAAATTCATGATCTTGGATGTTTTGGAAAGCTTGAAACATCCTCTATAACTTTCATGTTGGCCATTTTGACTAAATCATTTTGGAACTATGTGAAAAAATGCCAAGAAGTTGGGATAAAATCCTGACCAAAACTGAGGCACTATTTCTAGGGTCATCCTATCCTGGTGAAAACAAATTTCCAAATAAAGAAAATTTTGAAGAAGCTGAACCTAGCAGGAAGAATGGTGGCATGGGTTGTGGAACTCTCGGAACATGACATAGAGTTCACCCCATGTACTAGCAAAAATTCTCATGTGTTGGCCGACTTTGTGGTAGAACTGAGTGCTCTAATGAATGAAGAGGCGTCTGCAAAATGGGTTACGTACGTGGATGGACCATCCAATTTAAGGGGCGGTGGGGCTGGTATTATGTTAGAAGGACCATGCGACTTGGTCCTAGAATATTCGTTGTGCTCTAATTTCTAAGCTAGAAACAACCAGGCTGAATATGAAGCCTTGGTTTCTGAAATGAAACTAGCTAAAGAGGTCGGAATTACCCATCTGCTTGTCTGGACCGATTCATAGTTAATGGCCGGGTAGGTTGGAGGAGAGTTCTAGACCAAAGATCCCATTTTGATGAAATATCTACAACAGGGTATGCAACTGTCGAAGGAGTTCCAGGAGTTTACAATATGCCATGTACCTAGAGAAGAAAATACCCGAGCCGATCTGTAGCGATAAAAAATGTGGCGAGGTAAATCGGAGATCAAGCTATTAATTAACTCGACTCACAAAAGCAAGATTCGCCACCGTGCTTTATTATTTTCAAGGGAAAAGGAAAAAGAGAGAAATAAAACCCTTAAATATGCAATGTAAAATAATACTTCAAAGTAATGAAAATACAATGCGTTTTTTAAAAAAAAAGAGATCCATAGTTCGGGGGTTAGTTATGCAAAGGGAAGGTATTAGCATCCAATGCATCTGCGGTACTCCGCAAGAACCTTTTGTAATATCAAACTATGTCAATTCTTCTATAGTCCCAAGATGAAGTATCAAAGTTGCTGGTATAGAGGAGAAACTTTCCATAATTTATGGTGGAGTAAAATCATAAGTAAATAAGGTATGGGATTAAAGCAAATTTTGTACCAAAACCTTGCTTTTCAAGAATAGCAATGGTAACTTTTTACCTTAAATGGCAAATTATTTGGATAATGGCTTGTATCTCTTGGGTAATGGTTCAAGCTTTTATGTAAACATTAAATTATGGAGATATTTGCAATCAAGAAGTCCTACAACATAAGATTATGCAGCATAACATGTAGTTTGGATCATGTGTTCTTCAACAAAAAGACTTGTAATTCAAGGATGAATACCCAACTTGATGCCCTTGAATCTCCTAGCTCAAGTATGATAAATTCATGATCTTGGATGTTTCTGAAAGCTTGAAACATCCTCTATAACTTTCATGTTGGCCATTTTGACCAAATCATTTTGGAACTATGTGAAAAAATTCCAAGAAGTTGGGATAAAATCCTGACCAAAACTGAGGCAACATTGCTAGGGTCATCCTATCCTGGTGAAAACAAATTTTCAAATAAAGAAAATTTTGAAGAAGCTGAACCTAGCAGGACGAATGGTGGCATGGGCTGTGGAACTCTCGGAACATGACATAGAGTTCACCCATGTACTAGCAAAAATTCTCAGGTGTTGGCCGACTTTGTGGTAGAACTGAATGCTCTAATGAATGAAGAGGCGTCTGCAAAATGGGTTATGTACATGGATGGAAAATCCAATTTAAGGGGCGGTGGGGCTGGTATTATGTTAGAAGGACCATGTGACTTGGTCCTAGAATATTCGTTGTGCTCTAATTTCAAAGCTAGAAACAACCAGGCTGAATATGAAGCCTTGGTTTCTGAAATGAAACTAGCTAAAGAGGTCGGAATTACCCATCTGCTTGTCTGGACCGATTCATAGTTAATGGTTGGGTAGGTAGGAGGATAGTTCTAGACCAAAGATCCCATTTTGATGAAATATCTACAACAGGGTATGCAACTGTCGAAGGAGTTCCAAGAGTTTACAATATGCCATGTACCTAGAGAAGAAAATACTCGAGCCGATCTGTAGCGATAAAAAATGTGGCGCGGTAAATCGGAGATCAAGCTATTAATTAACTCGACTCACAAAAGCAAGATTCGCCACCGTGCTTTATTATTTCCAAGGGAAAAGGAAAAAGAGAGAAATAAAACCCTTAAATATGCAATGTAAAATAATACTTAAAAGTAATGAAAATACAATGCGTTTTAAAAAAAAAAAGATCTGGAGTTCGGGGATCAGTTATGCAAAGGGAAGGTATTAGCATCCAATGCATCTGTGGTACTCCGCAAGAACCTTTTGTAATATCTGTTTTTGGTTTAAAATTGTTTGTTTGGTTAAAATGGTTTGTTTGGCTAAAAATGGGTGCGAATGAGATTTTGAAGATGCGACGACCTAATGACGAAGTTTTGACTTAAAAGGGGTGAGTTTTAAAAACTGAGTCTTTTAAGAAAATTAACTTAAGTTTAGAAAAATAGTAAAATAAAAATGAATGAAGGGATTTGCACAATCGGATAAGATGTATTTGATGACATGAAGTCAACAAAGTTAAAAACATTTCCCTTGGAATTGAGACGGACGAACGATATAAAGATTAAATAATCGAGAATAAAGTTAACTAAAATAACAATTGAACAATTAAATAAATAACGAAAATTAAATTATACTAGCATGCATTTTCAAGCGAAAATTAAATAAAAATATTAGTTTATAAGCATGTATTGGAATAATTAATAAACAGCAAAATTAAATAAAGACTAATTTGATCATATGTTTTTGAATAAACAAGAATTAAATAAAAGATAATTTATTAGCAAGTTTTTGAATAAATAAATAGCAAAAATTAAATAAATACTAAATTATAAAAAAACTTGTATTTTGAATAATTATAAATGGCAAAAATTAAATAAGAGACTTATTTAATAACATATATTTAAACAAATAACAAAAATCGAATAAGAGATTAATTATAATAGGATATTTTTCTGTATTTTATAATAAGGGGTAAATAATAGAAATCTAAACTAATGTTGTTATCATATATTTTTACTAGAATTTGAAGACATAAGGCTAACAAAACTAAAAAAACAAAATAGAAAGGCCCAGCAAGGGTAGAACTCTGGTCCTTTAAGTTGTTGTAAACATGCCTTGCCAATTGAACTGTATTGTTTTTTCAGTTATTATTACGATTTAATTAAGACATAAGGGGAAACGATAATTGGATTGGGCCAAAAGGCCCAAAGGCTGACCCGTTTGGAGGAAAGAAACAAGGAAAATTTGGGAAACTCTAAAGATAGAGAGGCGCCGTGGTATTGTTGTTCGGAAGTGGAATTCACAAATTAAATTATTAATGTTGAAAAATCTTCTTTCTATGTTGTATTGGAAACAAAATTAAAAAAACGAAACACTCTATTCCCTAATCACAAATCCTCTTCCTCTGCTACAACTCTATATCCTATCTTTCTCTCTCTCATACGTAACAGCAACGAATCCTCTCTCTCTCTTGCTAGGTGTCGGAGCTGGAGCGGGTGGTGTGCTGACTGGTGCTACGGCCGGTGGAAATGAGGCTGGGGGAAACAACAAGAGCTGGTGAAGCTGGTTTGGGAGGGGCGGATACCGAGGATGAGACTGGAGTTGTTACAGTTGGAGTAGTGGTGGGGGTTGTGTTTTCTATTTGATGTGTTACTCGGTGTGGAAATCTCAAATTTCTGTTTAGATGAATTTTGGCCAGAAGATTATCCAAATCTTAACATCTTGTTTGAAGGGCGAGGAGGAGGCATCAAAGTTCTAGCAGAAATATGCCTCTGATTTTTTTCATCGCTAGACATGCCGCCGGACAAAGCTTTTCCAGAAGCACTAGAAGCCTGCTCTCTGGTGCTTTTGTCTGTCAATTCATCATCGGCATCAGCTTCATCACTAGAACTTCCAGCAACGAAAAAAATCATCATCACTGAGATCTAAAAGCCTGTCATCTTCGCTGCCAGTCTCTTCTATATCCTTGCCACTTGCAGCAGCAGATAACCTTTCTTCAATCTATTTGTGCAGCCCATTTCGCTTGTCAACTATCTCTTGATCGTCACTTCCACAAAATAAAGGAACATATTTCTCATTCTTGGTAAAGTACATAACATATTGAAGATCATGTTTAAGAGAAGCAAGTTGGTCAAGGGAAGAAGAAGCCGAAGCACGCTGAAGCTTCTCCAACCGTCTAATTCTCCATTCAATTTTTCTCCTCTCAAAGAACTTAATATTCTTGTCGCGTAAGAATATCTTCCATTCCAAAGTCTGGCGGTTGTGAACAACCAATACCGGCCGCGGGTTTCTCCCGGTAAGTTAGTGTAGGAAATGGAACAACGGTGTTTTTTGTATTTTTAGTTTCTTTACCTTCTATTTAAATTTTGTTTCTTTGAAAAAAAAGATGATGATGATATACTATATGGTGATGGTTCATGAGAAAGACAGAGTTTGTTTTTTAAAAAAAAGTGAGAAACATTGATGTTTACCGTAACATTAATGAGAGAAGAAGGAATTTGTATTTTGAAAAAAAAAGATAATGTTGTTGTTAGTTAATGACAACATTGAAAAGATATTAAAGTTTTTTTCTTAACGTGACAGAACAGCAACAACAACCTGGTTGTTAACGGAGGGAAGTATGTGAGCAGAAAGGGGAGGTAATGATTTTATGTATGGGACTTGAACTCAGAAAAACAGAAGGTAATTTCTTTTATCCCTGAATTTTGGTGTTATTTCCATACATTGCGTCTGCTGTCTATTGTTATTATTATGCTTCTAACATTTCTACATAACAACACACTGTAGCAACTAAAAAAATGCAGCAAAGGAATAAGATAAATCCAACATCGTATGACAAAAAAAGTGATGCAGAAGAAGATTCAAACATGGATATATGAGAAAGTTATGCAGAAGTAAATAGAGAGGAAGAAAAAATACCTATTGGAGTCTCTCCGATGGAGCTTCCAAACAATAAGTTTTCTCTCCTTGAATTTTCTGTGTTTCTCTTCCTGAATTTTTGTGTTTTTCTCCTTGAGCTTCTTTTTGTGTCCTCTACTGAGACTGTGTGTTTCTTTGAATTTTTTCTGTTGCTCACTTGCTGAGATTTTTTGTGTGTCCTTAATTCTATCCATGAAGAGGGTTTTATAGTGAAAGGACAAAGCATTTAGGGGGGAAATAGTAGAACATTTGAACTATTTTGACAAACTGTTTTGATGCTTTGTTCATACAATTTTATTTAGTCATATTGATGTAATTTTCTGGGCTATTTTGATGCAGGGCAACAGGCTGTACAGACTGGTTTACAACAGATTTTTAGCAGTTTTTTCAGCAGGTTTTAGACTGTTTTGTAGGTTGTTTTTGCTGCATTTTTTGGGTTGTTATTGCGGCATTTTTTGGGACTGTTTTGTTGCATTTTGGACAGCAAAATGCCACAAAAATTGGACTTTTATTGTGTATTGCAACAGGGCTAGAAAATATGGGCAGCAATATGATATTGGGCTGGAATTTTAGGACATTAGAAACAATAGTTTGTATAACTTGTAATTACTTGTAACTTTGTAGTAATAAATCCAAATAAAATTGTAACATGAATGGATACTTATTCTTCAATATAATTCTCAACTCTTTTGTAATTGTAAACATTTGAATCTTGATATTTGTCTTTATGAAATTCAAAATTTTCCATTTGAATTTGGAAAAGAATTGATAGATATTTGAATGAATTCTTGAATAATGAATGAACAAAAACGCAAGCCTTAAGACTTCAATCTTGCATTTTGTAATAGAGATCCAAATAAATTCATGAATTGATCTTGTACCAAAATTGTAATCATCATGTATTTATTCTTGTGATGAATGATTATTTGAATCAAGTTTCCTTTTTAATATCTTCTTGAATAAATGCCTCATGTTCAAATAGCCATGGTGTGAATCCATCAAAATAATCACACAAAAATAATCTTGAACGAATATTAATGCGATGAACGATTATTCTTGAATGAGATCTTTTGATAACCTCTATTTAATTAACACTTGAATTCACATGAGGAAAATTCCAAGTATTCCGAATAAATTCTTCTGAAACGATATTGAATTTAATCACCCACTCTAACGAAATTCACCCCGCGTCATGTAAGTATAAGAAATCAAACCATGCTTAAAAGCTTTGAATGATCACTAGAAAGGGGATTTGAGATTAAATGTTATGGCGTTGAGAAATTGGCACGGTGAACTAAGCTTAGAGATCCAGAAACTCTTAAATCATGACAGACGTCCCATAAAGTCTTCTCATGGCTTTCTAAACACAATTGTCTTCAACTCTTAAAGAAAACTTGCAGATGATTTTTGGTCGAAGCGTTTGGAATTGACTTGCATAACTTGATCTTTTCTCGTATTTCAAGGCAAGAGTAAAATACACGTGAACCAATGATCATGGAACCTTGATTGTTTCTTTTTCTTTGAGGAGTCGCTTGAGGCCACTTGTTGAAAGAGAGCATGGAAATAAACACACGACTCTCTTGATGAATCAGTCTTCGAGAATCAATGATCAACCATACTTCTGGCTTGAGACTCAAAATCCTAATTGAGACGTGACGCCTGATGCTCTTGATTTGAACCTATTTCTGCACATGAAATCAAAGAAACAAAGACATACACTTCTTGCTTGATTAGAAGTTAGTCATGTATAAGATAAAATGCTCACAACACTCGATAATCTCTGCACATGCAATGCTCGAAGGTGAAGCGTTCGAAACTGACCATATTTCGTGACCTTGATGTATATAACAAAAAATACAAATGAAGATGGGATCTTGGGTCAAAAATTGGGGTATGACACGATCTATTAGCCCTTAAGGGTAAGAAAACACTTAGAAGGGGGTTGAATAAGTTTCTCTTTTTCTTCTCTAACAATGCTTCAACAATAATGGAAAGACAAGGTTATTTTTATCCTAGTTCGTTTGAACTCAAACTACTCCAGTCCATCCGTCAAGGTGATTTCGCCTTTCTCAACAAGGACTTAATCCACTATAATCAACTGATTACAAGCACACAACAATTGTTGTGACTAACAATGCACAAGTAATCTTACAAGTGACTAACACCACTAAGACTTAAATCTAGTCCTAGTCTACTTGAGAAATCTGACCAAACTTGGTCTCTCAAGGAACAATTACAAGAGTTTAATCTTTACAGATAGTGAAATAAAGTTTGCTTCTAATAAAGCTATATCACAACTGTGTTTTTTCACTTAGAATAATATTTCACAAAGTGTATGAACAAAGAGTTTGTGAGCCCAAAATTTTTCACGTGGTTCTTGCTTCTTTTTGAAATAGATTAGTTGGTTGGCTTGCAATAAATGTCCTTCTATATATAGTAAGAACAAAATGACCGTTGTTGCCTTCAAAAAGTGGAGAGCATTAAATGCTTGCGTGTTTCCTTGCACTATTCCATTTTCCAATGAACTAGCTTAGACACTTGAGTGCATACAGCCGTCTTTGCATTAAATGAGCAAACGACACTTGTAAGAACATCTTTACTGAAGCTTGACAAGACAAGTTGGATTTTACATTCTTTCAGAACTTGCTTCAACGTCTTGAATTTAGAACATGCTTTCTTATCTTCTAAATAAAGCTTTGCTTGCTAAGAACTTGATCAACGCTTGCTTTCAATTAAACTTCTGAACAACACTTGCTTTCAAGTAAACTTCTGAACAAGGAATCCTGCTAAGTGTTTGAAGATGCATTTAAATAAATGTCTTACCAGAGTCAGCATCAGCAGTTGCGCTAAAAGCAAATAGTTCTTTCATCAAAGAATTTCTTCATATATTTTTAGCTCAGCACATCAAAATGCTTCTGTCAGAACATTATCTGAAACAGTCAAATACGTTCATCAGAGTATAAATTGTCTAAAATATAATTTATTGTTATCATCAAAACTCTGAGATATGATCATAACTAATCTTGTTCTAACAATCTCCCCCTTTTTTATGATGACAAAAAATATTCAGATATAGAAATAAAATATAATAAGAGATAAGAATCTCCCCCTGAAATGAATATTTCTATATATATAAAACTTCCTGAGATTATTTATCAGAGCTTTGAAAATATCTTCTTGGATTTCTTCAGAACTTCTTTTGAAGATAATGTTCAGCTGAATTTAAACTTCCAGAGTTTAAGTGATACCTGCAAAAATTCTTTTGCACATAGAAAGAAATCTTATATTTTGTTAGAATGTCTGAGACTTAGTCCCATAACTGTTAATCAGAGATTAGATCAAAATACTCATTTCTACCCCTTTTTGGCATAATCAAAAAGTATATAAAAATAGTTGAAGAGCTTAAAAGTTTTCATAAAATAGCAAAAGATATCCAGAAGTACAAAACAACAAACAAAAGACAAGAAACAGAATGACACTAGGATTTCTTAGTAACAAGGTCCATAAGAAGATTCTTGATCTCAGATGCAGATTCTTCTTGTTTCATCATCTAGTTTCTGATTTCTTGGTTTGTCTGGTCTTGCTTATCCAAGCGCTCATGGATGACTTTATTTTCCTTCTTGAGCTTATTCAGAGTATCCATGATAAGTGAAGTAGGATCATAGGATGAAGAAGCTTCAGCGGATACATCCTTTGGAGTAGCAACTGTTGAGTGAGAACGAACAAAAGTTGACAGAAGAGTGCCTAGATCTATCACAAGAGTCGGCACTGGTTATGGTGCAGCTTTTGTAGAAGGTTAATTCAAGAGAACAATTTCCATAGGATTTGAATCTTTAGAGGATTCTTCAGATTCATCTTATGAAATGTCCATTTCATCAGCTGGAGCATCAATAATCATCAAAGAAGACTTCTTGTCCCAAATATCAGCAGCTTCTGATTGAAAGGCATGCAGATTCTTGGAGAAGTTCTCAATCACCTGAGAGTGACATAGATC